TGATATCCGACATCGTCATGAGTAGCTAATTCCTCTCTTAGGGCATTGATGTAACCCAATCTAGTATTATGGTTTGATTGATCTTAACTTTGGGATTATTTAATGTATATTATGCTTTTGATTATATGACTATGAGCAATTGAGACAACTCAATTGGTTTTCATGCCTTAAATAGATTACAAATTGTTAGTACCTTGTCTTAGACATAACTGTTTGTTCTCTATTCTCAACCTATTCTTATTGGATGGTATCTGGTAGAGCCCTGCCGAACAGAAGAATAAAGGTCATATAATGGTGTTCCAACTTTTTTATAAAAGAATGTTTTCATAGTATATGCTTAGGAAAGATGGATTATTTACAAAGTAGTTAAGGTAGTTAGAGTAGGTAGGTGGATAGTCCATGCTAACCGTAGATAGGTTATAGTTAACTAAATTTTATAAAACATCTTTCTTTAAAACCCAAATTAAATGAATGTTATTGAGTTCAATTCATTTAAAACATAATTTGTTAAATCCCCAGAGTTGAAACAATTAACCATAGTATAATGATTGTGGTGAAATCAAAGCCCTAAGATCTCTCTCTGATCACTTAGTTTAATTCAACTTAATTTTAGCCTAATTTTAGTGTTCAATCATAACAACCAATCAAACACTTCAACCAGTTACCTGTGAACTAATAGAAATTAAGGCTGAACATAAATTCTCATCTCCCTGTGGATTCGACACCTTCTCTATAGTGTTATCTTACAAGGATTCGTTTTATTGTGAGTGGTAAAATTTATACACGCATCAATTTTTTGAGATTTGTTATTTAGTTTAGTTTTTAATTAGTTATTTTTGGTTTACTTGTCTTCGGACTTTCTGATATCTCACCTTAATTCTTTTTCTTTTTAGGTACATGAAATTAGCAGTGAGGACAAAGATGCTAAAGGTTTAAAAAGCTTCGGTTTATTAAACCTTCTGTGAGTTTTTACTATTTTCTTTTACTTGGGAAAATTTTGTTTTTATCACTTTTAAAGATTAGTGGAATTAATGCATGTTAACTCATTATTCTCGGTCAAAACCTTTATTGCATGATCTTAAAATAGAGAGAACTCTTAGTCAATTAACAAAACTTTAAAAACATTTGAATACTATAGGTAATTCCTCTGATAACATGGCTTATAATCATGATGCACCGGGTAATGCCAATGGTAATGGAGGACAGGGTCCACCTGTTCCTCCAAAACCATAAATAAGGGACCATTTCATTCGTACAACATACACTTCTCCTTCGTGCTTTATATTTCCAGATGTTGATGCAACCCATTTTGAGATCAAGCCTGCTATGATCCAAATGCTTCCTACCTTCCATGGGTATGCAACAGAGGATCCCTATACGCACTTGGATGTATTTTTAGAATTGTGTTCAACTACCAAGTTGACTACTCTTACCAATGATTCATTCAGGATGCTACTTTTCCAATTCTCTCTCAAGGACAACGCAAGAAGTTGGTTGCGTTCCCTTCCACCAAATTCCATATCTACATAAGAGATGTTGCAACAAGAGCTCTTGAAAAAGTACTACACAATAGGTAAAACCTATTAAATGAGAAGAGAAATCATGGTATTTTCCCAAATCCCAAGAGAACAGTTCCATGATGCATGGGAAAAATATAATGATCTTCTAAGAAAGTGTCCACACCATGATATTGCTCAATGGCACTTAATATAGATTTTTTATGATAGTCTCTTTGATTCTTATAGAAACATGGTTGATGCATCTAGTAATGGAGCTTTTTTGCGCAAGAGTCCAGCTGACACTTAGGAACTGTTTGAGTCCCTAAGTGAAAATTTAATGCAACATGCGTCTTCCTCTGGGTCTAGGTCTTCACCTAGAATGCATAAAGTTGAAAAAGTTTTTGAGGTAGACAAATCTAGTGAATTAGCAGCTCAAATAGAAGCCTTGAACAGTAGGTTCAATCAAATTCTATCATCTGGCTTTGCTCCTGTTGCTAATCCACAAACTGCCTTGCCAAAGGAAGTTTGTTCAATCTGCGCTAATCCTTCCCATTTTGCTGACACTTGCCTTATGATTGGATAATCATCTGAGATCCCACAGGAGCAAGTGAATGATGCATTCTCTAGACCAGAGAGATCATCCAAATCTATCATAGCGTAATCAAAGCCAAGGACCCATTGTTCCTCAATCTCAGGGATAGTATTAAAATTCATCCAATCCTATGCAACAAAATAATTCTTTTAACCAGTCTGGTATCTATCATCCACCTCTGTTTAGGAATCAACCTACTCAAACTCCTAATCTTTCACCTCCTCATAGAAATTCCGCTTTTAAGGATCAAGTACTCAATGCTCTTGTTGATCTTAAAGCCAATACCCAACTTCTTAATTCTCATTCACAAGCCATAGCAAAGCTAGAGGCACAAGTTGGGCAAATATCGAGTACTTTATCTACAAGAGAGGATGAAAAGCTGCCTAGTCAACTAGTAGCCAACCCGAAAGAGCAAACTTATATAATTGATGAAATCGATTCCTCAAGTATTCATCATGAGCAAGTTCAGGCTATTACTACATTGAGGAGTGGTAGAGTGGTTAACAATCAAGTTGAGAAAGGACATGAAGAAAAAGAAAGACTTACGGTTCCCTTTGTTCCTATTATTCATGTTAGAGCAAGAGGGGGGTGAATTGGTTAAAACTTTATCTCTATTATACTTTTTCAAAGTAACAAAACAAGCATTCAAAGATAGACAACACAAGGTTTATAAGCAAACCCTCTTACCTAGGGAAAAACCTTGGTTCTTGGCTACAGCCAATATGCAATCCACTACTAGGTATATGTATCATGTTACACATTTAGCTGTCTCACTCTGCACACACCCAAGCATAAGAATAGATACTAGTTTTCACAACCAATACACACATTAGTACACCACAGTGCATACAAACACTCCCCCTGTCCTAAGCAACCATGCTTGGACTAATTAAACTCTCGTAACTCACAACACACACCATTATAGATGTAGATTAGTTCAAGAAAGTCTTTACAACAATAAAAATAAGCTGGACAACACTGAAATCCAAGTTACTGCCTCAAAACCATAATCTGCAACACATAGGGTTTGACGGGTAAAATTGGAAATTCCTATCAAGATCAATTCACCAACACCTCACACAGTCTTCTTTCACTATAGTACTCATGTTCTTAGTTTTGCATAATCAAACACAGCATGAATATATCACAGAGTTCAGTTAAAGTCCTTATTTTAGCACAAAACAGCTTTAGCCTTAGGGTTTGAATACTCAAAATCACATCATACCATATTTCTGTCATAAGCCTAACTTTAACAATCTTAATTTACCAAAATATACTTGCTAGTAGCTTAAATCAACATGAAATAACTAAGTATACTCAAACAGTACTTGAATCCAAGAGTAATTCAGAAAAACAAGCTTAATTAGTGATCACACTGTCCAAATTCATTTTTAGCATATTCTTTACACAAACATAGTCTAAGGAAATTTAAAAGGATGAATTATACCTATGTCAACCTTCAGAATAGACCACAGCTGCTTGGAACACAAGTTCACTACTCAGACCAGCCCTTGCACCAGTAAAATTGACAGCAGCAGTATCTTCTCAGTTACAACTCTTAATAAGGCAAGATTTAGTGTGTTTTTCTTGCATAAATCAGCATTAACTCACTCACAAAAACTTGTTCTTTCATGGCTCTCGAGAGTATATAAGCTGCAGCTCACTTTTTTCAATATTTCATTAGGCTTAAACCTTAAGAGGCACTATAACAACATATTTATAGTGTCTCTGAATTACAGAAGGCCTCACACACCAATGGTATACACCTATCACCTTTAGTCAATGATTGAAAGAGCATATTTTAGATATTTTCGGGTGAGAGGACCAATCACAGTAAGCCACCTTAGCACTTTTGTCACTATGCACACCAGAATCCATTCACACACATTACAAGGTTGTAAATTGCATTTTCCTCTAGACTTAGCCTACAAGAAATGTAATATTCTTGTATATACTATCTCTCTAGGACCACTAGAATGTCCAACACACTTGAATACACATGGAAAGGACCAAAATACCCTTGTAGCAAATTAACTCCTTCACAGCCAGTAAGTAGTCCTGAAGCTGTATATTTCACAATACAAGTTCAACCAAGGCTATTTAGTACAATGCATCTATTAACACAAACGTATGTCAATGGAATACAACTGAGCAAAGACCATAGTACCCCTGTGAGGACCTGTAGCTAACACTGAAGTACTAAACTTTCACTGTCACAGTGATTTTGATCAAAACAGACTAAACATTGCAGTGCACTATTACAGATCACTGAGAACAATGTGATACAAGGTAGTAAATGTCAATACAACCCCTGGACCATATTTCAACACACAATGCAGAAAGAAATCATACTTGAAGCCACTGAAACCATACTTTTTGACATTAAAAGGCAAACATTCCTTAAGATAACTTAGGACCAACAATCTCCCCCTTTTACCTTTAATGACAAAAACCAATTAACCTTGAAATAAGATATTGAGAATGAGAACTTTCAAAGATAAAGATTCAGTAAATTAGAACAACCCTAATGCAAAAAGATTAACTTTAAAACTATCCTTATTTCCATTCCATTTCTCCCCCTTTTTGACATTGAAGGTTAATATGTGAGTAAGACCAACAATCTAAGTTCAGAAGGAAGGAGGAACAAGACTGAGAAGAAATCTAAGGGTTAAAAATCTGTGAGGAAGAAATTTGGTCATGATATCTGCAAGTTGATCTTTAGTAGGCAAGTAAGCAATATCAATAAGGTCTTTTTCTTTATCTCTGAGAAAGTGATACCTAATATCAATGTGCTTGCTTTTCCAGTGAAGTGTGGGATTTTTGCTTACAGCAATAGCACTTTGGATGTTAAAGAATAGTTTTGGAGGTTTGGAAAATTGAATTCCCAAGTCTGAGAGTGTAGTTTGCATCTAAATTAGTTGGGAACCAGCTAGATACTCAGCTTCAGAGGTGGAAAAAGCGACAGTGTCTTGTTTTTTACTTAGCCAAAAAACTACATTAGAGCCAAGAACATAACAGCAACCAGAGGTACTTTTTTTGTCAGGTAAAGATTCATCCCAATCAACATCTGAGAAGGCTGCAATAGACATTAAGGGTGAGAAAATATAGGATAAACCATATGAAAAGGTGCCCTTGACATATCTGAGAATTCTTTTGGTAGCTTGGAGATGAGAAGCCTTTAGATTACGTTGAAATCTGGCCACTAAACCCACTGAATACATTATATCAGGCCTTAAAGCTATAAGATGTAGTAAACTACCAATGATAGACCTATAAAGTGTGGAAGGAACTGCTTCAGTGGTGCATTCTAGTGAGAGTTTGGTATTAGGACATAGTGGTGTTGAGACAGCCTTACAATCATCCATTTTGAACATTTTAAGTAGCTCAGAAGCATACTTGTGCTGAGAAATGAAGATTCTAGTGGATGTTTGAGTAATTTACAGCCCTAAAAAATATCTAAGAGTCCCCAAGAGTGACATTTTAAACCTTGTCTTCATGAGATTAGCAAATTCTGAAGCTAATGAGGTGTCTGAGACACAAAACATGATATCATCAACCTAGATTTATAGAATTACAAACTGTCATTGATGAGCTTTTACATAGAGAGTACTATCAACCTTCCCTATGTGAAATCCTTATTTAACTAAGAACTGATGCAGCTTCTCATACTAGGCTTTGGGGGCTTGTTTGAGACCATACAAAGCCTTACTTAGTTTGTACACATGAGAGGGAAACTCTGAGTCTTCAAAACCTTCAGCTTGTTGTAAGTACACTTCTTCAATTAAATCTCCATTAATGAAAGTAGACTTGACATCCATTTAATATACTTTAACTTGTTTGTGACAGGAAAAAGATAAAAGCATTCTAATGGGTTCCATTCTTGCAACTAGAGCAAAGGTTTCATCATAATCAATACCAGCTTGCTGAGAGTAACCTTTACATACTAGTCTTGCCTTAGTCTGATAACTAATCCCTTCACATCCATTTTATTTCTGAAAATCCACTTTGACCCAATTACATTCTTGTCTTCAGGTCTAGGAACAAGTGTCCAGGTATCATTCTTATTGATGATCAAGTTCCTCTTGCATAACAGCTAACCAATCTTTACTTTTCTGAGCTTCAAAATAAGACTTTGGTTCAACAGATGATAACATAGCTAGGTGACTGTATTCTTCACCATCTTCAGCTTCTAAATCATTCAGTTCCTTTTTGTTTCTTGTTTGAACTCTAGCTTGAGGTGGACCAATAATGTTCTCAGCTTGAACCTACTTTTGTAGTACTGGATAAGTGGTTTCTCTTAGATCTTCAAGTTTAGTAACTGAGGAGCTGGTTTCATTTGAACCAAAGGTATGCATTATCACAGTCCTCAAGAGATGTGGACTTAGGATTCTCATCAAACTTCACATGAATTGACTCAGCCACTTTTGAAGACCTTAGATTGTAGCACCAGTAAGCCTTGTTTTTTTTTAGAATACCCCATGAATATGCCTTCATCTGTTTTTGAATCAAACTTGCCCAAGCTGTCAATGTGATTCAATATATAACATTTGCTGCCAAATATTTTGAAGTGGTGAATAGTTGCAGGTCTTCCATACCACAATTCATAAGGTGTTTTGGTTGAATTAGGTCTGAGAAGAACCCTATTTATGATGTGTATAGCAGTACTCACAGCTTTAACCCAAAAACCCTTTGCTAGACCTTTTTCCAATAACATTGTTCTCCCCATTTCTTGAACTATCTTGTTCTTCCTTTCCACAACCCCATTCTGTTGAGGAGTAGTTACAGCTAAGAATTCTTTCTTAATACCCTTATCATCACAATAGTGCTCAAACTCTTTTATGATGAATTCTGAACCAAAGTCAGACCTGAGTCTTTTCCTAGTGCTATTTCTTTCATTTTTTAACAAGATTAACAAATTTAATGAAGTGTGTAATAGCTTCTGATTTCTCTTTTAGAAAGTAAACCCACACCATTCTACTAAAATCATCAATAAGAAGCATAAAGTACTTACTCCCACCAATGCTAGTAGTTCTGGTAAACACACAGAGATCCATGTGTATTAGGTCAAGTGCTTTTGAGGTGTTGATTTCTTTTGAAGGAAATGAGACTTTGGTTTGTTTTCCTTGTTGTCAGGCCTTGCAGAGATGATCATCTTTAAAATTGAGTTCTGGAAGTCCTTTGACAGCTTTTAACTTTAAAATCATGGACAAATTTCTTGAATGAAGATGCCCTAATCTCTTATGCCATAGATTAGCTTCATCACAAGTTGTCAAATTGCATTGAATGGCTTGAAATTCTTCAGTGACAGTATAATCATTTCCTGATGTTCTACATGTTGAGAAAAGAACTTGTTTTGATTTAAGGTCAACCACATTGCACTTTTATTTGTCAAAACATACAATCCTTCCACTGCCGTATAACTGACTTACACTGAGAAGGTTGTGTTTGAGTCCTTCAACAAGTAAGACTTCTTAAATCTCAGGCAATTCTTCTGACTTGCTCACAGTACCTATACCGACAATTTTAGCCTTTGATTGTCACCAAAGATCACATCTCCACCATCAAATTATTTCAAAGTGATAAACTTAGAACCATCACCAATCATGTGTCTTAAGCAGCCACTGTCAATATACCATTTGTCCACTTTGTTACAAGCCTTAAAAGCTGTATACACAAGCAAATTCACTGAGTTTAGCTTCTTAGGAATCCATATCATCCTGGATTTAATAATTGAATCCTTGTTCGTGACCTTCTGAGCTTGAGCTAATCAGACTTCTTCATATACATTTTAGTTATTTTGAAATTCCTCATGAGTGTTGTAACAAGATCATTTCTATTGTAGTCAAGCAAATCACATTTTGATATCAGGGGTTTTATAACAGGATACCTTGCATACACTTCACCAGTTATGGCTTTAACAAATACAGAGTGAGGTTGATTGACCTTTGTAGCTGTATCACACACATAGCCAATTCCAGTCTTTCCAATTTGCTTTGTGGATTGTTTCCAGATCTCAGCCATCTTTAGGGATCTTTCTTCAAGAATTAGAGACAGTTCTTCTTTACACTTCTTGGTGGACCACTAAGTGTTTACTTGAAGTTTCAATAAGCTTTGAAAGATAGAGAGATTGAATACAACATTGACAGTTTAAGTTTAAAGTGCTTAGTAAGAACTTGTTTGGACTTTAACAATTTTGAATTGAGCCTTTTTATCTGAGACTTTTGTTGATTACACTTTACTGCAAGCCTCTCACATTCCTCAAGAATTTTCTCAATCTCAGTGTCACTATCTTCTTCAGCTTGAACTGGAATTTTTGTTGCTTCAAGAATAACCATAAAGAGACATTCATCTTCTTATGTTTCCTCATGTTTATCTTCTTCAGTAGCTGTATCCCAGTCTGAGATAAGAGTTTTTCTACCAAACCTTCCTTTGTAATTTCCTCCCTCATTCTTCTTTTGGCTTTGTCCCTTTGAGTTAGGACAATTAGATACCACATGACCAAGTTTTCCACAACCATAACAGGTTAAATTGTGTAACTGATTCTTCCTTTTGAACCTAAACTTTTTGAATTTCTTAGCAAGATAAGCTACCTCATCTTTTTCATGTCAAGATCATCCTCAGGTATTATGTCAGTTTCTTTAATAACTTCCTTTGCTTTACGGGCAGCTTATCTTCTATGAACAACTGGAACACCAATTCTCATTTCATAGGCAGTGAGAAAGGCTTGTAGCTTATTAATCTTCATCCTAGAAAGATCTTTGTCTTCAACAATTGTCACTTTAGGATTGAATCTAGAAGTGAGTGACCTTAGTATCTTCTCACAAACATCAACATCTTTAATATCTTCACCAAGAGCTCTCATATTGTTTACAAGGTTATTAATTCTGAACATGTATTCAACAACAGTTTCTCTTTCTTCCATCTTGCAAACCTCATATTGAACTTTGAAGAATTGTATCTTGTTCTCCTTAATAACATTGTTTCCCTCACAAGCAACTTGAAGAGAATCCCACATTTCTTTGGCTGTTTTACAATTTTTAACTCTGGTGAACTCCTGTTGCCTCAAGGCACAAAAGAGAACATGTTTGGCCTTGCCATCATTAGCCAGAGCCAATTTATCTTCAGTTGAGGGGAGAATCACAACATCATGTACAGCAGCATGCCAAACATCATAGGACTGAGACATTAAAAAGGCTTCCATCCTAGTTTTCCAAGAGTCGTAGTTTGAACCCTTAACTGTAGGCTTATTAAAACCTCACAATGCAGACCAAAGCTCTTATACCAATTGTTAGACTAAGAGGGGGGGTGAATTGGTTAAAATTTTATCTCTGTGATACTTTTTCAAAGTAATAAAACAAGCATTCAAAGATAGACAACGTAAGGTTTACAAAGAAACCCTCTTAACTAGGGAAAACCTTGGTTCTTGGCCACAGCCAATATACAATCCACTACTAGTTGTATGTATCTTGTTATACACTCAGTTGTCTCACTCTCTGCACACAACCAAGCACAAGAATAGACACTAGTACACCACAGTGCATACAAACACTCCCCCTGTCCTAAGCAACCATGCTTGGACCAATTAAGCTCTCATAGCTCACAACACACACCATTACAAATGTAGATTAGTTTAAAAAGGTATTTAAAACAACAAAAATAAGCTGGACAACACTGAAATCCAAGTTACTTCCTCAAAACCACAATCTGCAACACATAGGGTTTGAGGGGTAAAATTGGAAATTCCTCTTGAGATCAATTCACCAGCACCTCACATAGTCTTCTTTCACTGTAGTACTCATGTTCTTAGTTTTGCATAATCAAACACAACATGAATATATCACAGAGTTCAGTCAAAGTCATTGTTTTAGCACAAAACAGCTTTAGCCTTAGGGTTTGAATACTCAAAATCACAACATAGCATATTTCTGTCACAAGCTCAACTTTAAAAGTCTTGATTCACAAAAATATACTTACTAGCAGCTTAAATCAACATGAAATAGCTAAGTATACTCAAAAAACACTTGAATCCAAGATTAATTCAGAAAATCAAGCTTAACTAGTGATCACACTGTCCAAAATCATTTTCAGCATATTTTTAACACAAACACAGTCTGAGTAAATGTCAAAGGATGAAATATACCTATGTCAACCTTCAGAATAGACCATAGTTGCTTGGAACACAAGTTCACTATTGGACCAACCCTCACACCAGTAAAATTGACAGCAGCAGCATCTTCTCAGTTATAACTCTTAATAAGGCAAGATTCAGTGTGATTTTCTTGTATAGATCATCATTAATTCAGTCACAAAGACTTGTTCATTCATGGCTCTCGAGAGTATATAAGCTGCAGCTCACTTTTCTCAA